TCTTCTCTCCCTCTCTCCCTCTTTCTCTCTCTTCCTCACTCTTTCTCTCCCTTCCTCCCTCTTTCTCTTCCCCCCTCCCTCTTTCTCTCCCCCCATCCCTCTTTCTCTCCCCCCTCCCTCTTTCTCTCCCCCCCTCCCTCTTTCTCTCCCTCCCTCCCTCTTTCTCTCCCTTCCTCTTCTTCCTAATATTTTTAAGAGAGTTTGTGTAATCCTTTTTTCTAACTTTCTCCCTCTCTCTTTCTCTCCTTCCTCCCTCTTTTTCTCCCTCTCTCCCTCTTTCTCTCTCTCCCTCCCTTCCTCTTCCCCCTTATATTTTTAAGAGAATTTGTGTAATGGTGGTGATTTTTATGAATGCACATTTATTTATTCAGTTTCATAGGTGTGCATCCTTATTGCTAAATATGTATTGTCTGTTTGTGGCTTGCCTTTGTTATGTTATATTGGAGTGTGATATAGCTTAATCGATTATACCCTAATATACAGGTATATGTATACATGAGAACATTCAGACAGTTCTTTTTAATGATAATATTAAAGCAAAGATGAATTAATACCATTTTAAGTTGTTATATATTACTTATTCTGTATAATGTTATGAAATGTAGTATGTTTCTTGCGTCAAGATACCTTTTACCTGCAAGAATTGTAGAGAAATTGTGGAGTGTTATTAATTGTTTTGGTGCTAACCCCAAAAGGAATCTGATTTTCAAATTATATTTTAATATGGAATTATTTTAATCTGAAAATGTGATGCAGATTTAAAAGGATTCTAATAATAGTGGAAAAAACCTACCCCCAGTTTTAAGTTAAGTTTAAATTAAATACTACTGTGACCCTCCCTGTGTTGAAGATGTTTACATATTTTCTCCTTTTCTCATTTATTATTTTTTTTTAATTGTTATATTAGTGCCAAATTGAGTAATGCCATATTTCCAGCTTGTGATAGTAAAGAAGGTTGTACAAGGGTAAGACTTTTTCATTTTCATTCATTCATAGAAATAACATTACTTTGGTTTTGCTTCTCATTAACAGCAGGTAAGCAGTGTACCGTAAAGCACTGGTGATTATTTTATTTCATGTTGAGACATTCTGGCTATGAAATATATAAAAAGCTTGCATGAGGTGGCCTTACTAGTAACTATGGCATTGTTAGGTAGATAAAAAGGTAACAATTATAAAGCAGGCACTTGTGTAATCTTTGCATAACTGTACATTAACGGCTGTCTTGTAAGTATCATCAGCGTTAGATTGGTATATATTCTTATATTTTTTGCAGCGATACTTCAAATAATGTCTAAGCTTGAGTTTTTTGTTTTATTTCTTCCTACCCACTAAACAGGTTTGGCTGTTGAAACTGATTGAAATGTAAATGCACAGAGAGTAAATACAATCATTTAAGAGTTTCAGTTAAAAATAATTGCAATATTTTTAATGAAAGAGAAACACAAACACGCTCACACACATAATTATCCTGATCTTGTGCTACCAACTATGCCAAGCATTGCTAAGCTTTGATAAGTCTCATTTTGTAATGTATATTTCTCTTAGTTTATACTGCAAACCCAAAAATCATCAAAACCTGTAACTCAGATATGCAAAATCAAGCAGAATATTGTTTCTTAATTCTTAACCTTTGCTAATGCTTCCTGGAGGGTTTGAAGTCCTGTCCTAACCTTTTGTATGATAAGCTAGTTATATTTCTGACTTCTAATGTCATATTCAGGAAAGGAAATGTCGTCTTTTCTTTATTGGCAACTATTGATATGTATCTCAACTTTTTGTTCATTCTTTCCCATCCCAGTTCCATATGAAATTATAAGACGATCATATACATCGCATCTTTAAGTGCCAAAAAGTAATTTTAACAAAGGAACATAATGTCCAGTAGTAAATATTCATACAAAATAACTTACTCAGTGCCAAACAGTCTGTAGAATTCCCAATCACTAGACATTCTTTATCTCTAAAGCTTGCTTAGTTTCAAAATCTCTTATTTCCTCTCTGTAAGTGTAAAACAAGGAGTGCATAAAAGCAACACAGTTGAGCATTCACTAATCTGAATACTGGGCAGAGCTACTGTCCAAAGTCGTTGTGGAGCAACTCTGGGCAATATCAATTTTACCAACCTCGACTTTGATGATGATATTGCTATTCTATCTGAGTTTCTGAAAACCCTAGTGGTGGCTCTAGATGCATTTATCAATGAAGCGAAGCCTGTACCAAAGCCACTGAGTCCAGAGGTCTCCTGGACCAAGACCAAGATCCTGGACTTTGGGGCCTGCTAGGAGATCCTGTTCAGTCGGTACATGTTTGCAGTGAGGACATTGAGGTCACATAGAGCTTTACATACCTTGGTAGTGTAGTTCTTGACTTCAGGCCTGTCAGACCAGAAATCAGTTAACTATTGGCCTAGCATTTGGGGTCATGAACTCTATCGACAAAAGTATTTGGAGATGCAGTACCTGTGCAGAAGGATCAAGGTCTTCAAGACCCTGATATT